GAACACCATCATCTTGCCGTCCTTCGTGGGCGCGTTTGCGAGCATCGCTGGGTTTGCGACTGGCGACCAGACCCTTCGCGCATGAACCCGACTGGCCGCGCGTGTGGGCCGCTCGCCGCCGCCCGCGCGCACTCCCACCGCCTTTCCTGGTGGCCCGCCGCTTTCAGATGTCGACCCGTCGCGGGCACCCACAGACTCGGACAGCGAGGACATAAATAACGATTCGCCTCATGAAGATGAAGGAGACTCGCCTTCATTCCTGACGGATCCCGGGCGGGCGCAGTCGGCGACGGACTTCGAAATTTTGCGCGGGGACCAGGAAGCCTCGCCCGAAGCGCCCCCCCTGGCTAAGCAACCGCCCCCCATGTCCTTCCAGGACTGGATGTTCGACGACGAGTTCGACTGCCACTTCGGCGCCGCCACCCCATCTGAGCCTTCGGTGGCTCCCACCGCTCTGCACCTGGCCGTTCCTCCAGACGTCCAAAGTGTTCACCGGGACCCCACCTCGGAGTAGACAGAGTTCGCAGCCATGATGACACCGGTAACAGCTCTACTCCCTGATGCTCCTCAAAAGATGACGGCGGTTCTCCGGATCGCGACCTTCATGATGACTTCCACGCTGAAGAAGCTCCCGAATCCCTTGCCGGAAACACGCACGACGCTGAGGCCGAGATGCTGGCTGCTGGCTTCGACCGTTTCCGACCCTGTGGTTGACCGTTTGGTTCCTTTTAAGGAACACTGGGACCTGATTCGTTCGGGCATCGACGGCTTCAGTGCTTTGGCGGGCGCCAGGGGTCCCGCGGCCTACGCGGGTGGCGGGCGCGGACGGCAGCGAAGCGTGACCGCCGCCCCAGGTCGTTCGTTCCTCCTCCTCCTCCTCCTCCTTCTCCTCCTCCTCCTCCTCCTCCTCCTCCTCCTCCTCCCCCTCCGTTCTTTCTCCTCCTCCTCATTTTAAACACATGGGTAGTGGCTTACGTCCTCGTTTTCGCCCTCCTCTGGGGGGCGGAAGGGCGAAAAGGAGGAGGGCGAGGAAGAGGAGGGCGAGCAGGAGAGCAAGTAGGATGGCAAATGTAGATACTGGCTCCTCGGGTTCGTTTCGCTGCATGCCGCCTTCGTCGCGATCTGGGAGAAGCACCGTAAAGGGGGCGCCTGTGCGGTTAACGGTTTGACCTGCCTGCTCTGCAGACGGTTGAGTTAGAAGCGTAATTATTCGTGTTGGGTTGCCGCCTCGTGTAGTGCTTCTCCGTATCCCGACATCGAATCAGACATTGACAGCCGATTTTTGCAATGGTGCGTGCTGAATCACACCGCAAGGAGTGCGAACCCCAAGACCGCGAGCGGGGTCGAGGTCACGTCGGATTAATTGGAGCGTGTTTCTTTATTGTTTTGGGCATGACGGGCGTCATGGCCCCCGCCCCCCCTCCCCCCGTATGGCGTAACGTTCCGCCCCCCAGTGCGTTCCGGGCCCTGCCGCTGTGCGCGTCGAGATCCGCATAGGCGTCCGCATAGGAGTCTGGTCCGCAGTCGTCGTCGTCGTCGTCGTCGTCGTCGTCGTCGTCGTCGTTGTCGTCGTCGTCGCTCGTCGTTCGTCGCTCGTTTATCGTCGCTCGTCGCCCACCATCGTCGCGATCGCAGACGCGGTTGGAACCCGTTTTTTTTGGAGGGGGGCGATAGCGGCAAGCATCTGGGTGGGGGAAAGGGGGCCGATGACGTCACGTTTCGCGCCAGCGGAGTCTGTGAATGCTTAGGAATGGCCGACACGGGTAGCAACAGCATGTAGGTGGCGATCTGCACCACAACGCTTGTGTACACCACAGTGCCTGCTTGCACCATGGCGCCTGTGTCGACCACGCCGCCTATGTACACCACAGCAGCCGCGTGCAACGGGGCGCCAGTGTGTGCCACAGTGCCTGCGGGCACCACAGCGCTTGTGTACACCACAGCGCCTGCGTACGCCACATCAGCCGTGCGCAGCACAGCACCAGTGTACACCACAATGCCCGCGGGCTCTGCAGCGCCTGTGTGCACCACGGCGCCCGCGTGCACCACAACAACCATGTGCAACAGAGCGCCACGGTTGCATGTAAAATGTTACGAGGAGCCCCCACGACAAAACGGAGCGCCTGTGGATTCCACAGGAAACAATTGTTGCATTAGGATTTGGAAAGGAATCTCTACGGGAAAAGAGCGCCGCTGGAATCTACAACTCTTCCCGACTTCACCGCATCACCCCAACTTCTCCCATCGGCGTCCAGGGGGCTCCTGCAAAATTGGCCGTCCGAGAACCAACTGAATTGATTTAGTCGACCATGTTGCGGTGCACGCAGAGATGCGCACGTGCGCTGTAGCGCCGACCCGCGCGAAAGGGGGGGAAGGGTGAGGGAGGAGGAGGAGGAGGAGGAGGAGGAAAACGAAAAGGAGGAGGAAGAAGGGGAGGAGGAGGAGGAGGAGGAGGAGGAGGAGGAGGAGGAGGAGGAGGAGGAGGAGGAGGAGAAGAAGAAGGTGGAAGTGGAGGAGGAGGGAGGAGGGAAAAACGTCGCACTCTATTATTAATATCGGCGTTTCCCTGGCGTGGCGCTGAGCTGTCCGCAGCAAATCCTCATTTACATGCTCCTTCCACAAATCCTGTGCACACAGGCGCTGTGGTGTACACCGGCGCTGCGTTGCACGCGGATGTTGTGGTGTAGACGGGCGCCGTGGTGTGCACAGGCGCTGCGATGCACGCAATTACTGTGGTGTGCACGGGTGCACATGGTTGCTGCGGTGTACACATTCGCTGTGGTGTACACAGGCGTTGTGGTGCACGCAAGCCCTGTGTTGTACACTAGCGTTGCGTTGCACACGGCTGTTGCGGGGTATGCAGGCGCTGTGGTGCACGCGCGCTCTGGTGCACGAGAGCACTGGTGCACACAGACGCTGCGGGGCAGAATGCCGCCTACATGCCGCTCGCGTCGTCGTCGTCGTCGTCGTCGCTCGTCGCTCGTCGCTCGACGCTCATCGTCGTCAAGCGCGCAGGCGCGGCTGTGATGCGGAATCACACGGCGGAGGGGGAGGGCGTTATGTCATGCCCCCCCTCGCCCCCCCCTCCCCTCGACAATTATTCAATACGAGTACTACTCTCCCTCTTCCCCTGATGACGGCCTGGGAGTGTCCGACCCCCCACATACTGTTTTTTTACACACAGGTTTCCCCGGAGTTTGCTCTCGCTGAGGCGCCGGCTTCATTTTCGGGCCCCGTTCGTTCCGAATCGTGCTCCCGCTGCAGCGCTGGCATCATTTCCGTGCTTCCGCTCGTTCCGAATCGTGCTCCCGCTGCAGCGCTGGCCTCATTTCCGCGCTTCCGTTCGTTTCGACTCGCGCTCCCGCTGCAGCGCTGGCGTCATTCCCCGTGCCATGCCACGGCCCGTCATCGCCGAAAACATGGAAACGCGCTCTTGCACACAGGTCGTCGAAGCAACGGTTGGCCAGGCAAACGGAGTGAGGTTTACGCATGTGGGGAAAGCGCGTGCACCTCCACGATTCGCGCATGCCGGGTCGTTGGCCTTCAACTTGTCGACGTCCTTCCAGAGATCCGACGTTCATCCCGCTTTCGAGCTCATGGGATCGGCATGCCATCCAGAGTCGTTATCAGTCGGCCCTGGAACTAGGCGACCCTCGGACTGAGAAACTCGAAGGGCCGTCGCTGGGGCGGCGGTCACCGCCAAGGGGAGTGGGCAGCAATGAAACTGGTCCGATGACCAAGGGGTGAGTCAAGGTCGCGGATTTCAGAGGCAGTCCCGCAGATGGAGGCGACGGCCGTTGGGAAGGTCGGAGGCTGCCATGACAGGGCGGCGCCGATGGCCACCGCAAGGGCGAAGGTCGGCGCCTGGAGGAAGGATGGCGAATCCGACCACCCAGGGGGGCAGCGGGGAGCGGGAGGGGGAACGGGCGCGCAATGAATGATTTTTTTTGTTGTCCTGACGGTCGCGCTATCGACGCGGGCCTACCGGGTGATTCTCAGCGCGCGGCAGAAGTCAAGGGCGCCCAACAACGAAGGCCAAAGGACAGGCCTGGCGCTTGGCTGGCGGCCGGGCGCCGTCGCTGCGTTCGCTGTCTTCCGGGAGTTTCGCGGGGTTGGTCCGCCGCGTCGCGCGCGGCAAGTTCGCTTTCGACGCGGGCGCCTCTAAGGGGGGCATCAGGCTCGATTGGGGGGGGCTTTGGATGGAGGCCTCAGCATTCACGGCGCCGACTGGCCACAGCTGGTCGAAGCAATTCGAAATCCATTTTCTCGGGGGATGAACAGGCGGCCAGCCAATGTAGCGTGGGGGCGCGGACATGACGGCGAGGGGCCAGGGGGGTCGCGGTCTTGCCGCCAGAGCCGTCGCGCCGCCATGGCGGCGCACCCTTGAGTTGGATCGCCAATTCGGGGCGTTTTGGGTGCCCGACGGGGCCTCCCGCCGTGTTCCCGCGGGGCAGATGAACGCCCTGCGCGAATCATGAATAAGGGGCCTCTGGAAGCCCCCATCATCCCTAGCTTTGGTTAACGGGAAGAAGATTCTCACGTGCCGCGGTCATCCCCCTCGGGGATTCGACGATTCGTTGGCCATGCGGCTGCCCCGCTCCTTCGCTCACCGCCTGGGCCCGAGGCGGGGCGGCAGGTTTCGGCCGCGGTTCACGGTTGGGGGCGCCTGCGCGGCACCTCTGCTGGTCTGCGCGGACGTGGGCGCGCCTCGTGTCTCGCACTGCGCTCGCGCGCGCAGCCGGCTCTGAGCGGGGGCAGGAGTGCTGCGGCGGGGGCCTTCCGCCCCCATCTGCACCAGGCTCGGGCAGCTCTGTGCGCCGCGGCGTCTCGTGGAGCCCCCCTTTTGCCTCCCCCCCCTCCCTCGTAGTCGGTTAGGCTCAAGCATCTTTTAAGTTCGGGGCCCAGAAGGGCACTCTGGTCTGTCCGTCGCTCTCCTGCACCGGCGCCTCGCGCCGTGGCATTCCCCGTCGAGGAAGTCCGCGCTCCGGCGTCGGCCGCAGACCAGGGGGCGCCTGCTGGCGTCGATGTCCACCAGGCGCCGGCGCGGGTGGAGTTCGCGGCGCCCGCCCGCGAGTCGCCGGCACAGACGCGCCCCTTCATCATCTGCGCCGGCGCGGCGGGGGCGCTGGCTGACGCGATCGGTTCAGCGCGTCTTGGCGATTTGGCAGACGAGCAGATGCGTGATCCCGCGATCGGCGAAACGCCAGCTAAAGGAGCCGCGGGGGGCTTCGCGCTCAAGCCGGCTAACGTCAATGCTGCTTTGGTGGCGCTGATGGAAGCGCAGCAAGAGTCTTCCGGCAGCCACGCGGGCTCCGCCAGCGCCGCAGACCAGACCGCGCAGGCGATCGCAACGTGCGCCATGGCCCAGGATTGCGAAAGCCGAGAAGGGGGCCAAACGCGGGGCCGCGAGCCGCGACCCGAAAGCCAGGATCCGCGACGCCGGCCTTCAGCAGCCCCAGGGCGACCCGCTGCCAAGCGAGGGCCCCCCGCTCCGTCGCCGGCCAGGGCGGCCAGGGCGGCCAAAGAGAAGGGCCCGAAGTGGATCGGCTCTTCGGGGGGCGAGGACTCGCTCGTGAATTTCCGCCCTGGGTTCTCGAAGACGCCGAACATAGACTTCCTCTTCGGCGAAGGGCCCATCGATGACGAGGTCCGAGAAGCTCGGGGGGCGAAGCGGGCGCGCGCCATGGAAGAGAGCGTTGGCTTCAGGGGCTTCGCCAACTTCCTCGGCCACTTGCGCGATTGGGGCGCGAAGGTCATCTCGGCGAAGGTCACGGCGCCCGCGCAGCACATGGCTCGCGAGATGCAGCTGGCGCGACTGTGCGGGGGCGCGGTGGTTCTCGAGTGGCGCGCCGCTACGCGCGATTTGCTTCGCCGTCGGAAGCTGGCCCGAGCTCTCGAGCAGGGAGAAGGCGATCAGCTCGACATTCTGCTGCGCTGGCTGGATCGCGAGAGCTCGGGGGGCGCCGAGCACGAGGGGCCCCGGCGCGCCGAGGGCGTCGGCCGGGCAAGCGGCGACAAACCCGCGACGGGCGGAGCCAGCCGCCCCGCCGGCGCGGGTCCGAAGGGCGGCAAAGGGCCCAGTCCCGGCACCGAGGGAGGCGGCAAGGGCGAGCCCAGGGGTGGCAAGACGGGCCCCCAGGGTTTCGCGGCCCCCATGTCGCCGAAGCGCCGCAGGACAGGTAGTTTTCAGAGACGCAGCGGCCGGCGGCAGGACTGGGGCGAGCAGAACTGAGCCGAGCGCGACAGCCCTGCCCCAGACGACTCTGTCTCCAGCGGGGCGCCCTCCGAAGAACGGGAGTTCTTCTGGCGCTCAAAGGGCGCGCGCGACGCCGACGAAGGTATTTCTGCGCTCCGCGCCGCAGCGGGTTCTCTTTAAAGCAACGCCGCTAGATCGCTAGATCAGGGAAAATGGATTCGTTCTCCACCAAAGATGGGCGCTGCGCCCCCAGCTGCGCACCGGGGCCCCGCGCGCCCCCGATGCGCGCGAAGTAATGATTTAATCGGTATCGACCCTGGCGCAACGCACGCGTTTAGGAAGCACCGGCTAGACTGCCGGCAACGCCGCCGACGCGCGACAGCCCGAGTTTGGCGCGATCATTGCGAGGGACGCCGCGACCGCTGCTGAATGGGCCGCCGACGTTTCGGATTCCTCTGCGCCAGACGGCGCGCCTTGAGCACTGGACCAATTGGTGTTGCGCGGCGCGTGTGCGGGTGCGCGTTTGTGCGTTTGTCCAGGCAACGCTTGCTGCATACCCGGCTGGTTTACGCAATCTCGGGGGCCCTGCTGCGCGCTGGCGGCCTCCGAGGTCGTCGTTGTCGTCGTCGTCGTCGTCGTCGGCGGGGCGGCGTTTCTCCACCGCCGGCGAGTCGACGCCACCTCTGCGCTCTCGTCGTCAGCAGTGGGGTCGGGGCCCAGGTCGCCGAGAGCCCCGGCGCCGTGTCTTGAGAGGTCGCCGGGGCTCTCTCGGGCCCCCCCGCCCAGCTGCACGGCGCGCTTTGCCCAGAGGTCCGCGCGAGCGCACTGGGCCGCCCCGCACGGGGCGGCCAGGCAGGAATCTCCATCATCTCTAAATAATGATTCTGGGGAAGAAGATTCCCACGGGCCGCGGTCATCCAATTCGGGGATTCGGTGATTCGTTCGCCTTGCGGCTGCCCCCGTTCCCTCGCTCACCGCCCGGGCCCGAAGCGGCATGGCAAGTTTCGGCCGTGGTTCAGGGTGGGGGCATCTGCGTAGCTCCCCAGCTGGTGTGCGATTTTGCAGAGGAGCACTGTCGCGGGCATGCCTCGTGATTCGCCTTGCGCTCGCCGGCGCAGCCCCTTCCCCCGCCCGCCCCTCTGGGGGTGGTCGATGTGCTGGCCGGCCGGGGTCTTGAGAGGTCCGCGGGGGTTTCTCGGGCTTCCCCGCCCCGCCGCGCGCTGCGCTTTGCTCAGTGGCCCGCGCGAGCGCACTGGACCACCCCGCGGAGAGCGGCCGCGCAAGAATCTCCTGGGGAACGCCGCGCAGCGAGTAGGCGCGAGACCTCCCATACTCCGCGGGGGACGCATTGAGAAGCTTCCAGAAGAGGCGGCCGTCTGGAAACATTTTTGGAGTCTCAGGAGGCCTCTTGGGCCCTCTTGGGGTTCCGTGTGGGTTTGTTTTGGGCCTGGGGGCCCCGGGGGACCATCCTGGGCGTCTTCGGGCCCTCCTTGCGTCCTTTTGGGCCGTGTAGGGGGCCTCCGATAGCCTTCTCGGGGTCCTCGGGACCCCCTGGGGCTTGTCTTGGGCCGTTTTGGGGTTGTCTGGGGCCGTATTGGAGCCCCCTTTGGCCAACTTCACCCACTTTGGGGCCTCTCGGTTCGCCTTGGGGCAATCTTGGAGGCCTCTTGGGTCGTCTTGTACGCTGTGCGAACCGAAGGGGCGATGACGCTAAACATGCACGTTTCCCATGGGGATGTGACGCGTTTCGCCTCTCGGGGGTTTTGGCGGGGCCCGTTGGGCCGTCTGGAAGGCCAGTGCTGCCGTCGAGAAGAAATTTTCGGACCTCTTGAAGCGATCTTGGGCAACTTGGGAGGCACTTGGGGGCCAGTTCGGAGGGCGGGCCCTTGGGCCGGCGCGGGAGGCGTTTTCGGATGTCCGGGAGCTCCGACGGGCGCCCCAGCGCTCGGGAGCACCGACCAAAAGGTATGTGTGTGTGTGTGTATGTGTGTGTGTGTGTGCGTTCGTGTGTGTGTGTGCGTGCGTGTGTGTTAGTGTGTGTGTGTGCGTGTGTGTGTGTGTGTGCGTGCGTGCGTGTGCGTGCGTGTAAGTGTGTAAGTGTGTGAGTGTGTACGTGTGTAAGTGTGTGAGTGTATGAGCGCGCGTGAGTGTGTGTGTGTGTGCGTGCGCGCGTGCGTGCGTGCGAGCGTGCGCGTGCGTGCGCGCGTGTGTGTGTGTGTGTGTGCGTGCGTGCGTGCGTGCGCGTGTGTGT